GAAAAATAATTATTTAAATGAACTTGAAAATATATTAGTTGCACCTTTAAAAGAAGATTTTGTTATTGGAATTAAATATATCAAAAAAGATAATTTACCTAATTGGTGAAAAATAAAATTGAGAAATTACATACATTTATTTTAAAGAATTTTATTTTTATTCTCTAAATTGTATTATTAAAATTTAAATTTTTGTTTTATTTAAAATTATGAAATAGTTGATAAATAAATATATTGCAAAATTTTTTAAAATTTTTATAATTATCTAAATTTATTAAAATATAAATACTTATCCAACTTATCCAAGGGGCTATAAAAGTTTATAGCCAGAATATTTTTCAAGGAATATAATAATTAAAAAAAATTTTTTTTAATTTTTGTAAAAATATTTTTCTAAAAATTTAAAAAATTTTCTTGGTTGATTTGATAAAATTATTGAAAAATTTTAATTTTATTTCAAAAATTGTTAATTTTTGGTTTAAATGATAATTTTTCGAAAAACATCCAAAAGAGGTTACAGCTCAGTTTAGAGCGAAAAACGCCAAAATAGGTTAAATAAGGGATAAAACTCTTCGTGAACAAAGGATTTTAGAAAAATAATAAAGGATTAACTAAAAATCCGATCCCTAATGATTACAAGAACTCAAAAAACACCATATCCTTCTAGTCAAAACTATATTTCAATTAAATTCTTCCACCTAATCCCTTTAATTTTATTGTTATTTACTCATCTAAATTAATAAACAATTACACGATTAACAGATTTGAGAAAAAATTTAAATTATAAAAAAAGTTGAAATGGAAAGGAAAATATATTCAAAATATTCAAAAAAGTGGGACAGAGAAGAAAAATTACTTTAGATTGTTTTTTGAAAATAATAATTAACTCTAAAATATATTTAATTAATTATTATAATCATCTATTTCTTTATTATATATAATTTTAATCCCGCCATCAATAAAATCCTCATTCAACGCAAATATCTTTTTAAGACTATATGAGACATCCAAGGAGACTTTAATTATTGCATTAAGTTCTAAAATATTGGATCTAAAATTAAAGGATTAAATTTGATAAATTATTAAATAATCAGTTAGCTTATGATTATATATAATCCCTGTCGGCGCCTTGGATCTTAATAGTCCGACTATACCCCAATCTCCTTTGTTTAATCCGTTCCAACTTGACCCCAACTACAATTTAATTTCTATTAATTTTGTTTAGCGATCTAAACTTCCTGGCCAAATTTCTTTTTGTGCACTTTAGCCTATTTTGTAACTCTTGATGGCTTTGTCACATTTATTTTAGGATTATTTTTAGAATTGACGTAAATGCAAACTTTTGTAATATTGAAATCAAAATTGATGCTGGTTCAATAATTTCAATTTCAAATTCTTTTGTTAACGCTTTCTTCTCATTTAAATTTAAACTCAATAAAGCATTTACAACGAAAGTTGTTAATGTCCAATAAGAAATTTGGGAAATAATTAAAAAAGAATTTTCCAAATCTTTAATAGAAGAATTTTCAATTAAATTGAACATGTTTTTTAAATCAGAAGCTATTGATTGTTCTTCTAGTAAAAGCATCATTTGAAAGACATCAATAAATTCATCTTTATATCTTTTCTGCATTGCTTTATTAATAATATGATCCAAAGATGTTTCTTGAAAATTCACAAAATTTTTGTGAACAAAGCAAACAAGCAGTAAAATTAAAGTATGTATCTGTTTGTAGGTATATTCTGAAAATTTTTTTATGATTTTTAACTTTTGGTTAGTATTTTTAAGGAGGCAATAGTGATGACTAACTTGATATTAATAGGATGTAAAAAATCTCAAAATATTCAAATATCTGAAATGACCTGACCTGACTTTTTTCTCAACTTTATCTCAAAATATTGATCTCAAAATATTCAACCTGATCTCAAATATTCAAATATCTGAAATGATCCGACTTGACTTTTTTCTCAACTTATCCCATCGTCTCTAATTTATTAAAATATAGAAAGAAAGGATATTGTATTAAATTAGAAATTATTAACAAACTTTGAGGATGTGGAGGAATAATTCGGAAATTATTGCCTGATTTGGATGCTGAGGTCACTTAAGAGAATTTTTTAAATAAATTAAAATTATATTAAAAAAATAATTTATTAATTTAAAATATTATTATTTAAAGTTTATATATATATTTTGTTATATTCTCTACCTATTTTTCCTTTTCCATTATTTAAACTCGATTTTTTAAATAAATTAAACTTTTCATTATTTAAATTTTTAAATTGAATATTTGGACATTTAAATGATTTTATAGAAAGATTTTGATGGTTTGAATTGCCAACTTGACTATTAAATGTTATTAATTGAATGCCAGGAAGTGTTGCTAAATTTGATTAGAAGAGATTAGATGCGCCTAATTAATTTTTTAAAATTTAAATTACCGGAAAGAGTGAATTGCTGAAAATTTGCAATGAAAATTCCAAAGCAAAATAAAAGCAAAATTTTCAAAAAATTCATTTTCTAAAATAAATATTAACTTATTAGCTATTTTTATTTGAGAAATTAATTTAAAAATAAATTTATATTTAAATAAGGTATTTTTATAAAATCATTTCAAAATTCTTAAAATTATTTTTGTCGTTTTTTTATTCATTTATTGACTGTCGGTGTCGGTCTCTTTAAAAGCAAAAAATATAGCTTGCACTTTTTCTAAATTTTATAGTCAACAATTGTAACGGAAATAGACAAAAATACAAGTGCAGTCGTTTGAGAAATTGTAAAACAATTTCACAAAAAAGTATTTAATTGAAAATAAAATTAAATAATTAAAGATTTCAAAATTGAAAGTTTTTTAAACTTTAAAGTTAAACTTTTAATAAAATGTTAATAAATAATTGCTTAACAAAAATTTCAACATAAATTACAAATTGGTCCACAATATTTTTTAATAATATCCTCATCCCAAAAACCATCATATCCTTCACAAAATCCTTTACTTTTCCATATTTTACAACTGAAAATTTTTAAAATTATTAGAAAGTAATTAAATAATTGAAATAAAAATCTGAATTTTAAAAATAAAATATAAACCGATGTTGATATCCAGGCATGGTTTTGCAATCCTCGTCATCGTTTTTATTTTTTATTTTTTTATTTTTACAAATGTCTTCACATTGATCCACCATAAAATTTTTGTAAGACTTAAATAAGAGATAAATATATTTTTCTCCATGAAAATATTTACATTTTAAATTAGATAGAAGGTAGAAAAGTTCGAACTCGGTTTTCGGGTTTTTGATGTTTTTACTTATATTTAATTTGAATTTTTCCGAATTATTAGTTACTGGTTAAAAAATAAGTAGCATTCATTGTATTATAAATAAACATCTTTAGTATTTTTGTTTCGCATCAGATACTTAATCTCGATAAAGTGTCAGAATTAAGAGGTGGGGGATATGTTTATAATTTCTATACATTTTTATTTATTTTTTTAAATTAAGTGAAGGTATAAAAATATAGAAAACCCCCCAAATAAGCCAGAATACATTTGATATAACAAAAACAAAATGTATATTTCAAATGCTTTCTTATAATTTATAATTATTTTACAACCCACATCATCATCACATAAAGCGTCAGAAACTCCTGAACAACCATCCCATTTATTTAAAGCATTATTATTTTTAAATTTAAGAAATAAAAATAATAAAAATATTTGAATAAATTTAAATTTAATTATTTGTTTCATTAAAAAATAAATTCTCTACTTTAATTGAATGTTTTTAAATTTTGGATGACGAGTTGATTATTTACTTTTTTTTTATTAGAGCAATAAAGGATTTTATTTTTGAGTTTACTCAACTTTAATTGGAAAAAAGGAATTCAATTTTAGATAGAAAAAAATAAATTTTTTGGAGAGAACAATAAACAATTTTTAAAATATTTTTAGATAAAGTGCAGGCAGATTAAGGCAATTTGCTTTTGCTAAAAATTTTTTAAAATAATTGTAACCTAACTAAATTGTAAATTTGTGAGAGTTGTTGAAGATTATTTTTAAGTCAGTCCATTAATTTATTTTTGTTTCTAACTTTAATCCGATTTGTTTTTTAATTATTTTGTTAAAAATTCTAAATTTTTGTTTTTCAACACTTGTAGCCTAAATAATTTTTAAAAAATTTTTGAAAATTATTTTTCAACCTTTCATCACTATAAATTTGTATTATATATTTTATTTTTCATTTTAAATATATTTAAATAATTTTATAATACTAACAATAAAGATACTAAAGATATTTAAAAGATAATGTTTAAACATTTTAAGATGAAAAATCAGCTGAGGAGAAATTCATTAAAATTAATTAAAATTTTATTTATTTTAATTGCAATTTTTAAAGATAATTTTCAAAAATTCAATATTATTCTACCATTTTTCAATTCTCTAATAAAATAAGAAAAACATGAAGAATTAACGTAAAAATTGATTTTAGCTAATAATCGATCTATTCCTTGTTTTTATTATTTGTTGATCTTGTCGGCTTTTTGCCAATTGTCCAATAAAAGGAAAAAATATTTGGATCTAATAGATTTAAAGTTAACGTTAAAAAGCTATGGATGACGCCTGCCACATTAATATAGTCAATTAGGAATTATTTTAAAAGAAAAATAAGAAGAAAAAATTTTATAAAGAAATGCTTGTTGTTTTTATTTGATAATAAATTTATATTTTTTTTTTGCAAGTTTTTATTTTAATTAAAGTACAAATTAAATTAAGAAATCAATTGCTTTCTAGTTATAATAAAAATTATCACTCCTGTTATAGTATGTATACTTATGAGGATTTTAGGGGGATTTATAGAGGGATTTCTTAGGGGGATTTAGGGGGATTTAGATTTATAATTTATTATTTTATATATACTTAGGGGGATTTCTTCAAGTTTAATACCCACAAGTTTAATCCATTTCAAAACATTTCAACTACTTTTTAGGTTAAAATATTTCCAAAATGCGTAATGTCCTTTCACAAAGATTCCGCCGTCATCAAGTCACAGAAAGAAATGAGACAACCATTGTTAAAAAATCTGATTCTTCTTCAAATACAGGAGGAGAATCGTCTGGACCTAAAGAGTATAGCAGGTACTTAGTTTTTTTTTTTAAATTGAAAAGTTAAAATATTATTGGGAATTAAAATATTAAAAAAATTTTAAATAATTAAGACGTTCATCTATGCGTGATGAAATTAATGTTGAACAATGTTATTCTGAATCTAGCAACGCCCCTCGGATATTACATACGACACAATCTTTAAATGTATTCAAAATTAAATAAATAAAAATAAATTTGTTTCTAAAGGATGCCAGAACTACTCCACAATCATCAATGCCTGCAAAATATTCCAGAGAATATCCAAGTATTTTACGTGAACAAAATTTAACAAAGGAGAAGAAAAACTATAGACATTCAATTATGATACCTATTGAAAGAACAAATAAAGTTGGAAATTAATACAGACTTAATTTTCAAAAAATAATTTTTAAAAATATTTAGGAAAGTACTGATAAGGAACAAAGTGAAAACTTTCTTCGAAGGCAACAACAAAAACTATATAAATTACGTGGTGAAAGTTTGAGAAAATTTGGCCAAACAAATACTCCTCAAGGATTAGATGAACAACAAAGAAGGGCTAGGTAGAAAAAGAATATAAAAAATTTATTTAAAATTATTTATTTAAATTTATTTATACAGGCAGCATGCATCGCTACCACCAATGGGCCGACAGAATCAATATCCCCAAAAAAATATCCCTCAACAACTACCTTTTGAGGTAAAAAATAGTAAAATTATTATAAAAATTTAAATATTTTTAATTATTATTTTAAAAAATTAAGCTAATAATTGATCGTTATCCGCAACAACAAGTTCGTAGTATTGATAAAACAAAACAATTGGATATATGGACTGTCTCTGATAGCGGGATATATCATAAAAGACATGAATTTCCACAAGAATCTTCTTTTGGGTTTTCGCCCTTTCCTGTCCATGGTCCTTTTATGGCAGAGGAATTGATACTTGAACAAGAGGTAAATAAAAAAATATTTTTGTTTTCAACTGTACATTAAATAAATATATCTTAATAATTTTATTAATTTAATATTATATTAAATTAGTTATAATTTTGAATATTTTAATATTTTTCTGGAGATTTAATTTTGAGTAAAAATACTTTTCGATTTTTAAATTAAATTTAGAGCAAAATTATCCAAAGACAAGAATCAAAAGTTAGTGGATGTTATGATTCTTCTAATCAGTATTATTCTGGTAATGCAAATGGTCAAACTGTTGGGATGTCTTCATCTAACATAATGAGTAGTAGTGATGAATTATGGCATTCTGCTTATGAATGTTTTCCCCAACAAAAAGTGTTTTGATTAAATTATTTTTCAGAAAATAATCAAAAAATTAAGAAATTTACACCCCAACCACAACAACCTAAAATTCCACAAATACAAGATGAACAAAATCAACAAACTAATAAAATCCAAACAATGAGTATTTTAGCAGAAGAGAATGGTTCTGAATGTAATATTCAGAAAAACTTTCATTTAAAAAATATTTTGGTAAATAATTTAAATGTTTCTGGATGTTTTTCTGAAAGAATTGTTTTATTTGTTAAAATTCCAAAAATTATGGCAAGCAATATATTAGGGCCACAAATAGAGACTTCAACACTTTCTGAACAGCAAGCAAATGAAGAAGTTTTTTTTAAATTTATTTAAAAAAATTTCAAGAATAAAATTGCTTAGGTCCGCCTTTTAATGTATAAAGGGACAAAACCAAAAACGAAATTAATGTCAAAAAGTGTAGAAAGTACAGGGACATTGGAAGGTCTAAGAGAATCAGAAAGAGTTGTTTATCCTGTTCGTGTTGAAATTTCTGGTCCTGTACATTTTCTTCATGCAACAAATATGAATGTTATGAATAGTTCAGATAACCCAACAGATTATTCTATTCATACTTCGATGACTTCAAGTGGGGGAATGAAAGAATTTAGACAGGGAACTTTTGAAACGGTAAAAAAATTTTTGAGAGGAAATATTTAATTTGAATATTTTTATATGTAGAATTTTTCAAAAAATCGTCAAAAAAGTCCCTCTCCAACTAAATGGACACAAACAGAATATCAACCAAAAATTAATTATAACTTAAATTCAGAAGAGCCAAAACCCGTAGAAACACAATTTGAAGATCTAAGACAATCACAAGTTATTTCTCCTCCTTTAGAAAGATTTATAGAAAGTGTTTGTGATATACAACCTATTTTGGCAGAAATTAGCGAAGCTATGTCCCATCAAGGTGGTTTTTAATGCTCTTTAATGGAAAATAATTTTAATTTATTTTATTTTTTATAGCGCTTCCGTTCGAGGAAAAATACGAAGAAAGTTACTTAAGGAAGGAAAATAAAAATGGAGGGCCTCCACCTATTCCACCTAAAAAGCATTTAATAAAAAAACAACCAAAATATATTTACAAAATAGAAGAACAAAATAAAAAGAATGAAAAAGAATATTTTAATTCAGAAGAAATTAATAATCAACAAAATCCTTATTTAATTCAGAGTACAAGTCATTGCCATCTGGCAAGGGTCACAGAAATAACACAGGAATGGCTTGTTAAGTGTAATAATAAATTGAAAAATAATAATAATAAATATGAAGACAATGAAGGAGTAAACTTTTGTAATAGTGTAATTATTAAACCCTTATATGGGCAAGAATTTGATAAAGAAGAGTTTTGGACAAAGGAGTGGAAGGAAAATAATGTAAGAAAAATATTTAAGTTTATTTTTGTTTGAAAAGCTTAATTATACATAAAAACAAGAATTTGTTAGATAATTAAACTAAACCACAATTCTGATTTTGAGAGGCCATTTTTGGTCATAATTAATTTAAAAAATCCTTTTTATAAACAAATACATATATAAAAAATTTAATTGTTTAACATTATACAGCCGGAAAAATCTAATAAAGTCAAAGACGAGAGGATATTTGACAATACTAGTGAAAGGATTTACTTGAGAGATGATGGCATTAATAAAAACGAAGGAAATTTTAATAATTATAGAGGAAAATTTTCTACATTACAAACCTCAAATCGCCAATTTAGACAACCTGGATTTCAAGAAAAAGTAAATTTAGAGATTTGAAAAATTATTTTTAAATAAAAAATATTGTAGATATACAAAACACGCAGTTTTAATAACGATGAATTGCCTCGGTTGATTGAACAAACACAATACGAGGAATTAAGAAGAGCTTTATTGGAAGTACAGAGAGACTTGGATAGTGCTCAAGTAAAAATAAAAATTAATTTTAACATTCAAAAGATTTAATAATTTAAATAAAAATTAAGAGAAAAATTAAAGAATTATTTATTAGGAATATAAAAAAAATAATGCAGAAGTTGAACGAATTGAGAATGTTATTCTTTCTATTTCTGAACGAATTAAACTTCCAAATGAACCTGTTACTAAAGCTCAAGCTGAGGCAAAAGAAGAGCTTTTGAGAGTTAGACTTGCTCGAATGATTTTAAATTTGGATCCAGATTTTGAGCCAAAACAAAACTTTAAAGAAAATATAAAAAGAGATAATGTTGATTTGTCTAATGAAAATGTTTTTGCTGATATTGCTTTGGAAGGTTATTATGTTCGAGTAATTTTGATTTTTTAATTTTTTTAAAATTTTCTTTTAAAATTTAGGCACTTCGGGAGCCCATTGGTTTGTTACGCGAAAAATTAGCTTTATTAGAGCACCGTCTTCTATCTGAGCAACAATTGGAGATTAACGATCAATTACTTCGAATTAATTTAACTCCACCACCCCTACAAAATTTGGAACAAAAACGGAGAAAAGAATCGCTTAGTCAAAGGAGTGATGAAATATCTAGAATGACTCCATTAATTGTAATGTTAAGGCATAAATTAAATGCTTTGGACGATCTTTGTCATAAAGAACAACTTAAAGCAAATACAACAAATATTAGGTTAGATTATGGATATTGATATGTGTATTGATATGGATATTGATATGATGCAAATATTGATATTTTAATTTCTTTAAACTAAAAAGATTAACTCTTAAAAATTCTCTCTCTCTCTCAAATATTTTTTGAAATAAATTACAAAAATTTTAACAGTGGCCGTTTAACCCCTTACGAAGAGAGGAAAACAGTCTTTGATTTATTGGTGAGAATTAACGAAGAGATAGATACCATCCATAAATTATGTCGGGAAGAGAATGTTAAGGAAAGAATTGAAATTGTTCTTAAAGTTTTAAAGGTACGAACAAATAAAAATAATTTGTTAAAAAAATTTTTTCAAGAAAGTTTCTAGTTCAATTGATAAAATAATGGAAACATTAAAAAATATGAGTACAGCGACTACTGTTGCTACTTCAAGACAACCATCAATTTCATTTTTGTCTGAGACTAAACAAAATATTTTGAATGTTGATGTAAATAGTTAAATATTTTAAATAATTATTACATAATATTATAAATATTGAGGGGGGTTCAATTCACAATCAGGGGCATTGCACAATCGACTGTGCCAAGGGCCAGGATCCTTCAAATGCTTGGATATTTTTTATCTTTTTAAATTTTAATTTAATAATTTATAAAGAGGCCAATTATTTACCAACAACAAATTGACCATCCATCCTCATCCAAATTAGAACAAGCAATCTTAAATAAACAACAACAAAAAGAAAAGAATATAAATATTCTCAACCAAACAAAACAAACATTTCTTCAGAGAATGAAAGCTAAACAAAATGAGAAGAAAACTGAACAATTTTTTGATTTTCCATTAAATGGAAGTAATAAACAACAAAATATTGAAGCTAAACATTCCAAAATTTATAAGGAAGAAAATATTGTTTTGAAAAAATTTGATAATGAAAATGTAAAACAATCTTCAAGAAAGAAAACGCCACCCCAGGCAAAAATATTAAATAGATAATAATAATTTTAAGAAATTATAATTTGAAAGTAAAAGCAAATAAAGTATTTTCAGCTATTAGTTAGATTTATATGTATGTGGTGAGAAATAATTGAAAAACTAGGATATCTCCCTTAATATTTAATTAAGCTAATAATAATTAGCTAATAATAATAAATTTTTGATCTTAAGTCAAGGTCAAAAATTAGAAAATTTTTGAAATTAGAAAGAAAATTAGAAAATTTTAGAAATTAGTTAGAAAAATTAGAAATTTTAGAAATTTTAGAAAATTAGAAATTTTAGAAAAATTAGAAAATTTTAGAAAATTAGAAAATTTTTGTTTTTGATGTCTCTAAGATATTAAATAAAAAATTTTTATATTTTCCAACCAAAATTTATTTATTTTAATTTATTTTCAGGTACCCCCAAAACCTAAATCTCTCACTTCTTCAATTGAGGAAAGAATAGGTCCATTATACAGCATTATTGAAGAAGATCCTTCATCTTCTAAACAAACAAATATTTCTAAACAAAGAGTAAATGCTGTTGAATTAAGTGCACATTTGGACAGGCCTTACGAAAGTACATCTAGAGTTAATGCTTTTATTCCATTATTAACTACTAGAACCGCTACGAGAATAGAAAGCCCTCCTTTGGTAAATTTATAAATATAGTACTTTCTAATTTTTATTCAAATTCCTGCAAACTTTTATTAATTCTCTTACTTTTTATCTAATATTTATTTTCACTAATTTTGTTCTATTAAATGAATATCTGTTCAATTAACTAATATTATTTAGAGCCCAGCATCTACTTCGAATCAACACTTGTTAGAGATATCAAAAAATTTTTCCTCGGATTTACATCATTCATCCAAAAAGTTTAAAGATCAGGTATTTATATTTTAAATATTTGAGAAATTTATTGGGTTTAGAAACAAAGTATTTATCTAAATATTCACTAATTCATTTTGATAAATATTTTAGTTTTAACATTTTAGTCTCGCTTCCGCCTTGGTCCTTGCCCAACTTCATATTTAGCTAGAGAACAACAGAAAATTACAAATGGTCAAAAGCCTTCGCTACTAAAGTAAAAATTAAATTTTAATAGAAAAATTAATTAAAAATCTTTTAAAATAATATTTAACTTTTTAAAGTTTTTTTTAAATTATTAAAACTAAAAATCTAAAATTATTTTAACAATTTCAAACTTAATATAATTAAAAATAACATTAATTCTAATACTACATATAACACAACTATTTTTAAACAACTTAATCATTATAAAATAATGATTAATTAGTATTTATTTTTCTTTCATTTAATTATCTATTATTTTTAACTAGGCTTTAAAGTAATCTAAAATTATTTTTTAAATTCATGGTTTATTTTTTAAATTCTCAATAGGAGGCCACACATTTTTCCAATTTCACAAAAAATTAGAAATAAACTTTTTTTAAATTTATTTTTAAATTTTTGGATAATCTAACCATTTTTAACCCTTTAATTTATAGATACATATTAAATTCACAGTTAAAATAAAAATTAATTTCCTTTCATTAATTTTAGCTAAAATATTTTATTAAAAAATATTTAGGTAATTAATATTATATTCTCTCTTTGCTTTCTCATTTATTTTAATTTTTAATTTCTTTCAAATAAATTTTCGGATTTTTTAAATATACCTACCTATCATTAATTTAAACATATGACAATTTTTAGTTGAACAAAAACTACCTTTTATATATAAAGGACAAAGTTTGAAAAATTAAAAAAAACTTAAATATATATTTATTTAACAGCTGCTCTTGCAAAAAAAAACTTTAAAAAATTTATTTAAAAAATATTTTTTATATTTATGTTATTACTTTAAGCTTCTCAATTTTTAATTTTTAAAAAGATATTTTTAAAATTTTAAATATTTCTTTTTTGAATGAAATATTTTAAAGTAAAGTAAAAAATATTACGTAAAAAAATATTTAATGTCATCGATATTAGATATTGCTAAAAATATATTTTAAGATTTTTAGGATTTTTTAAAAGCTGAAATACTTTATTTTAATTGAGAAATTTATTTTTCAAAATTCTCCTTTAAATACAAATATTTTTCTTTAATTTTTCCAAATAATTTTTTTAAATTAAAATTATACAGAATTTAAATATTATAATTTTAAAAATAAAATTTATGGGAAAATTATTACGTCAAATACTTAATTTAAGTTATAATTTAAAGAAATTTAAAAGAAGCAAGTTTGTGTTATTTAATTTTTAATTATCCCTTTTTTAATTTATCAAGTAGTTCAATTGATGATGATGATGTAGAAGAGGCTGTTAGTGTTAGTATTGCAAGTAGTGCTGTAGATAATAGTTCTTGTTTGAGTGTGCCAATACTTTTTAGAAGAAATTCTGCTTTAAGTTCTGTTCCCTCTGCTTCTACTTTTCAACAAGAAACTGCTATAATTGATGAAGTAATTTTAAAAAAAATTATTTTTTTTGGAAATTTTATAAAAATTAAATATGTACATATTTATGTTTAAATATCAAATTTAATAAAAAATATTTTAGGAATCAGAAGAAAATTGTACAGAAACATTTTTTCTTAGAAGGAGAAACAAACATTCAATTTTAAATGCAGTAATTTATCCAGAACAGCATGCAAGTGTAAAAGCAACATTTTGTGGTAATAATTTTCAGGTAAATTTCTTTGTTAAAATATTAATTTTTGGAACAAAAAAGGTTGATGTTGAACGTATGAGTGAATGTGGGAGAGATTCTGTTGTTATGGTTTCAGAGGAATTTTGTGAAAAGAAAGTACTTATACGTTCTGGATCCCCTTTACTTAAATCAACAATTATGGAGGAAATTGAAAGAGAGAATAGTGGTTAGCAATTAATTTATTTAATTATAATTATCTAAAATATAAATAAAATTTAATTTAAATTTTGTTTAATCCCTCGAAAAATAATTTAAATTTTTCTTTTTTTTTATTTTAGATTCTCCAGGGTACACGGATGCCCACACACGTATGGCTGTCTCTATAAATGCTAAAAGTGATTATGATTCCGTACATGTCTTTCTCGAAGAAATACCTTGGGGTCAAATTGGTCTCGAAGTAAAAGAATCTCCTCCACCCTTAAATAACAAAAGAAATAATAACAAAGCTATAACAAATATATCTTCAGGCATTTTATTTTTGTCATCATTCCAAAAATTTTTATTAATTTAAGATGACAACTGTTCTGGCCTGAGTTTTGGAATGTCTACTTCTATTGAATCTTCACTTAGTCGTGAAAGTGTTTTAAAACAAATAAGTGTCAGTGAAAGCAATCACTTTCGAGGGAATAATGGGGGTGATGGAAATTTATCTATCTGTTCAGCATCGAAACGTTCATCTCAAAAATCTTTGGCTCATTCAACGGGAAGTGGGACTACAACTATTTTAGTTGGTTGGTAATTATAATTAAGTTAATATTATTACGCTCAATATTTATTTTAATTCAATTTATGTTTTGATAATTGTTGATAAAAATTTTTTATAGACAAAAGATTTTTAAACTTGATCTAGTTAGTTAAATTTAAAAATTTAGGTGGCCAAGAAGAAGATTTGGATGACATACCAGCTTATGTAATTAAAATAGGGTCTACTGCTTCAATTACTTGTGAACTAAATAGTGATTGTGTTTCAAACCTTTCAAATATTGAAGTAATTATTTAAATATTTAATTAATGTTATTTTAGTATATTGTATTAATTCCTTAGTCGGATCAAAAACCCTCATTAATTTACGCATTATATTTATCAAAACTTAATAACAGTAAATTGGGGTTCTTTTAAACATTATTAATAGTCCTTTCTATTAATCTTTTTTATTTTCTCCATATTGAGAATTATTAATCTACCTAACTATAGGTATATTAGGTATTTAAATTAAATATTATTTAATGCTAATATCCTTTTTATTTCGTTCATCCTTAGGTGTTAAAGTTAATTTAACTTATTTTTCTTTAAATACAAATAAATGTTAAAATATTTTTTATTAATTTTAGTGGATTCGTGGACAAAATGAGCAAATTATTTTCACAGAGAATGGCAAATTTGAATGTCACTTTCACAATTTTATAAATGTTTTGGTTATTTATAATGTTAGCCATGAAGATGGACAATTATATTCAATTAAAATAAATGGAGAAATATATCCCGTTGCTTATTTAATTATTGAAGATAATAATGAAGAAGAGGAGGAGGAGGAAATTGGGGATGATTTTGAATCTCCTCATCAACAAAATCGAAATTCTTTTATTATGAATGAAGAAATATTTTTAACTTCTCCCCAAACACAGTATATTAATAATTTAAAAAATAATTTTAAAATTTTTAATTTAAAGATTTGTAATGCAGGGGGAGACAGCAATTATTTCTGTTTCAATGAATAGAGCTAATTTAAACGTTTATTGGCATAAAGATGGCCAAATTTTGGATAAATCTAACGGAGATAATCGTATTTTATTTGAAAGTACAACAAATGGATGGTATAGAATAATTGTACAAAATGTTCAGTTTTCTGATCAAGGATTTTATTTTGCCCAAATTGGTGATAAATTTACTAGTGTTCAATTAATTGTTGAAGGTAAATAAATAATTAAATTATTTTTTAAAAAATAAAACTATAACTTTGTATACCTACATATGTACTACTTTCCTTAGTATTCAGTTTTGTTAGACGGGAAAATTTGGCAAAGGTTTACTAGCTTAGTTAAGTAGTTGAACCCCTCCAAACGTGTAAACGAAGCATAACAAAAGCTTGAAGGTTCAATTCCTGTCTGCTAACAAAATATTTTTGCAAACTTTATTTATTTAGATAGAATTGATGAAAAAGAAGTTCAAGTTTCCTCTGCGGAAACCGATGATGAGGATTTAGGTGATTACCTTGTTCCAATTGGTTCAACTGCCACTATTGCTTGTGAGGTTGAAATAAAGTTTAAAATAAAAAGAAAATAATTAAATTATTAGTTTACTAATTAAAAATAATTAATTGGGGATTTTAAATAATTTAATTAATTTATAAAAATTATTTTATTTTAAACAAAATATTTCTTTTAGTTAGAAAATGTTAGTTTTGGTTATCGTTTACATTGGCAACGTAATCATAAAGATTTGGATTCAAGAATTGTTTCTGATGAAGGAAAATTTGAACATGTAGTAAATGGAACTAAACATTATTTAATTATACATTGTGCACAACCATTTGATTCTGGTAAAATTTAATTTACTTTCAAAAAATTCTAAGAAGATTAAATTAGTGTTGAATTAAAATTAGATAATTCTTTTAAATATAATTAACATTTAAAAAATATACATAATTAGGGATTAGCTTAGTGAAAAAAAAGTTTGTGAAAATTTTTTCTCTTATCCCTAAATATTTTTAGGTGTTTATTCTGTTCGCATCGGTGATTCAAAATTCAAAGTCGCACAAATAACAATTAGCAATGAACAAAAATTATCAAATTGTAGCAGTTCAGGCTCTCGAATTAAAAGAATATCGAGTCAATCATTAAATAAATAACAAAAAAAATATATTTTTATTTTATTTAAATTTTATTTTTTTTTATTTTTATAAATTGATATTATTAATTTTGGTTTTAATATGTATATAAAATGGTTGGTCTAACTCAGATCGGAACCCATAAATTTAATTTTAACTACAATTTAACAGATCAGATTTTAATTTAGCTAAATTCAATGAAAAAATCTCTGACAAATTTTCTGTTCTGAAAAATTCAAATATTTATCACAGTAATATACTCAGTCTTTACTTTAATTTAAAATATTTCCTTAAACTCAAATTTAAAAAATTAAATCTCAAATATTATACATAATTAATTTTTTTATTAAACAAAAATTCATTAGAGATTATTAAAGATTTAAAAAAATTTATTTATTTAATTTAATCTTTAATCATTTGATTTTTAAGGATTTTTTAATTCAATTTTTTAAATTTTCCCATCTACGAAATACCGAACGTTTTTGTATGTTCTCGTTGGATTATTTTAAATAAAGCAAATATATTAACAAAAATAGAAAGAACTCGGGTTTTTTGCTTTTTTTTATTATTTTTTATTGCGTGGAATAAAAAAATTTTATAATTTTATATTTGTTTGCATTTTTATATTTTTTAGAATTTTTGTTTGTACCAAACTTTGGCGCTAGAAAATACATAAAATAACTTTTTAGAATAAATATTAAAAATAAAAAATATTTTTGTAAGATGAAATTCTGATTAGTTTTGATTATTTTTTTAATTTAAGAAATAAAATAAAGAAAATATTTTTTGTAAATATTAATTCAAAAAAATAAAAATATCAAGTGAAAATATGTACATATGTGTTTGTATAATTACTTAGTTAGGGTTATTCGGATAAATCTTCTCATTTTCATTTAAAATGCCAGATCATTCGAGTACACTTTAATTGTTTATAAAATAATTAATTTACAAATATTCTTTTGAAACTTAATTTAGAAATTTTTAAATTTTAAATAAATCAATACATAAATTTTTAAAAATTTATTCCCAAAAATTATCAACGCCCAAATAGGCTGTAAATTAAACATTATGGCAGATGTTTATATTAAGCATGGATGCCACGCCTTCCTTTGTATTTTATAATTTTTTGTAGTATGTGTGTTGCTTTATATAAAATTAAGAGGTAAATGGAGAGATACTCAACAGATTTTAAATAAAATTTTAAAATATCCTCCTCTCTTTCTCTCTCAATTCCATAAATTCTAAAAAAATAATTAAAAATAAAAAATGAATTTAATTTTTATTTTCTTATTTTTTATTCAAATTAATTTTAATTTAATTAATTCAAATCAAATTAGAAAACGCCGTCAATCTAATTTAGAACCATCTCTGAATGGCTCAATTCCATTTGGAATTGTTCAATTTAATCGTGTTGGAGTTATACCAATTGGAACTCCTCGTAAATATTTTTTTTAATTTAAACAAATTTTTTAAATAAATTTATTTATTTTTTAGCTAAAAATTTTACTCTTTCCTTAAATCTTCAATCTTCTGCTTTTTGGGTTGTTGATAATAATGCCGATTTTCCCTGGACAAAAACTAAATATGACAATAATACTTCCAAATTTAGTATTCCAACTGGCAGAAATGTTACATATACAGATGGTAAATCTGGACCTATGTTTATGGATAATATTACTGTTAGTGTATTTTAAATAATTAAAAAGAATTTTAAATAATAGATTGGTGATTTGAGACTTCCAGTAATGAGATTTGTTTCTATTATTTCATACCCAAAAATGCCTACTGAATTCCAATTTACCCCATTGGAAGGAGTGTTTGGTCTTGCTCCACCTCTAAAAATGATTGATCCATGCAAAGCTTCTCCGCTTGTTTCAATAATGAGTGTCGTTGATCACCCAATTGTGACTATAACACAATATAGGTAATTTATATTTTGATTTTATTCAGATAATTAAATTATATTGAATAAAAATAATTTTTTACATAGTAATTTAATTTAGTGTATCAGTTGGAGATTCAAATGTTGGAAAATTAACTTTCGGTGCTGAAAACTATGATGATTGTGTTGATGAATATGATTATGTACCTCTTGCTGAAGAAGGTCAATGGTCCGTCAAAATATTATCAGTCAAAGTTGACGACACAAAATTAAATATAACACTAAGTCCAATGCTTAAAATCATGGATCAAGCACTTTATATGTATGGACCTAAAGCACAATTAGATGAATTAGCAAAAATGCTTGGTGCTGAAGTTCCTGATGATGTTGGAGATTTTTATTTATTAAATCAAACAGCCTGTGATAATATGGATCAAATGCCAAAAATAACAATTAGATTTGGAGAGGAAGGTAAAGATACTTCAAAGACTGTTTTGAAGCCAGAACATTATATGGAAGTTGTAAGTTTTTTCTAGAAATATTTTAGCTATACGATACTTGATTAATAGATTGCTTTATAAATATAATATTTTTAGTCCCCAATTGGCGAATGTCGTCTTCTTTTTATGACCAATGAAGTAATGCAATATGATAACAATTATTGGGTTATGGGCCAACAATTCCTTGTCAATCGTTGTGTTTCTGTTCATTTCCGTAAAGGAAGAATGGGATTTGCTCAAGGCCGTGAAATTGATCAAACAGATAGTCAAACTGAGAATAGTGAGGATGATCAAGATATTGATTTGAAGGAAATTGCGAATAAATTCGATGATGTTCGAATTAATCAATTTACTGGAATTTGAAATTAAGAATTTATGGGTTTAAAATACGGGCATTCTATTAAATATTACCTATATCGGGTTTTAAATTAAAAATACTTTCACATATGGATTTATTTAAAATTTAAATTTATTTGAATAAATTATTCGGTAAATCATTTGGCAAAAAGTCTTCAGGCAGATAAGAATTTACAGAAAGGACAAACATTAAATTTTAATTAAAACGCAAAATTAAAGAATTTTCCTTAATTAAATAATTTATTTTTTCATTTCAAACAATCTACATTTTTTTAAAATTAAATAATATTTTTTTAAATTTTACAACATCAAATTGAATTTAAAATCATATTTTCTTGAGTATTCAAACGATAAACATTCTTCTTTTTTCTAAATAATTAAAATTAAATTTAAAAAAATGTTAATTAATTACTTTAAATATTTTATAACATTTTTATTTAATTTTCTAAAAGGTTCAGTAATCCATGGTTGTCTAATTTCATTTGGTAAATTATTTTTATTTAATAATTCTCCATTTGATGCGATACAGCAAAGAAAAGTATAGGCAAAGTCTATACAATTATTTTTAAATAAATTGTATGTATTTGGGCCAAAACGATATTTTTCTAAATTTGTTTTTATATTTAAAATTTGATCCATAGAAAGTGAAGTAGATAATGGAACACCATCAATAAGGATATCAACATATCTTCTAAAAATAAAAAGATTTTTTTTAATAAAAGATAAAAATAGGTAGTTTAATTTATTATCGAAAATGTTAAAGTTTTAAGATTAAAGAAAACAATTTAATAATAATTTTAATAAAAACATTAGATTTAACTATATTTTCTTCTAATTTATTGTAAAGATAATTTAATTTAAAAACGCTTGGGTGGATGTTTAAATAAAAGGAAAAAAAATTAAAGACCAAGCAAAGTCGTAGGTCTGATACCATCTATAGGTCCGAACTTTTTCTAAACTCTTATTTCGATAACTTTCTCTAATCTAAACCTGTCATACTTATTTTTAATTTTCTACGAATTTCTTTTTTTTTAAATTTAATATAGGTATTTAAATAAAACATACAGAAACTCCATTTTCCTTGGAAATAAACGATTAATTAATACAAAAAATTTCTTTCCATTATTTCGTTGTGGACATACATGAACACCTCTTTTTACACCAAAATGAAATTCTAAAAAAGTGGATTTATTAAAAATAAAGTTATTTATTTTTACCTTTTCCCCGAACAAGTACTCCAATGTGGAAAATTCTTAGGCGCTTTAATTTAAAAAATTATATTTTATTTTTTATGAAATAGAATAAATACCTCCTCAAAATTGTAAACTGCTAATTTTATTTGAGAATTATTTTTTGAATTGTTATTTTCCATTTTAATTAGAAAATAGTGGATTTATTAAATAAATTAACTAAAAATTAAATAGATTTATAATTAAATTCTGGGTTTGACAAAATTAATAAAAATATTTTTTGTTTTATTTTATATTAATTTAAAGAACTAATTTTTTAAAGAATTTTTTTCATTTAAAAAATTAAATAAAATATTAATGAAATTTAACGAACATTTCTTTAAATACTTATTTTAGTTGATCTATTCGCTATATTTAAATAATTTTATTTTTTAAAATAATTATTCATAAACTAGTTAAATTAATAACTTGATAAATAAAAAAGACTTAGTAATTATTAATTCACGACAAAATTTAATTTTTAAATTATCGATAAAAATATTTAGACTATAAAATTTAACATTTTTTGTGCGCAACAATTAAATTTATATTTATTTAAAATTTATCAGTTAGAAAAAAGAAAATGTGAATGTACTTTAATTGATCTTAAAATATTTTGATCTATGTAATAGATAGACAAAATAAATAAAATTTATCGAATAGACAAGAAAATAAATAAAAATTCTGAGTATTGTTAATTGCTCGTTGATTAAATATATGAAGTCGGGATTTTTTTAATGATACTCCGACATTTTTGATCACTAGAATACATAATGATCATTTAATAATCTTTACTAAACACGTCTAATTTTAATAGTTTAAATAAATTTAAAATTATATTTAAATATTATTTTTATTGAGGAATTAACATAAAAAATGAGAGAAATTTTTAAAAAAATTAAAAAATCATATAAAACTAAATGGTTTATTTAAATGATTTTTAAATTTAAAATCTTAAAACATTATTTGTAGTTTGTTAAGTTCATATATTTTTTGTATTTTTATTTATTCTTTTTGTAGTCTCTATAAGATTAACTGATTGTTAATTTGGTCTTTTGCGCGAATAAAAATATTTTATATTTTACTAGTTTATAGTTTATCTTATTTTTTTAATTTTAAAGTTAAAATAAAAATTTAAAAATAATTCTTATTAAATTTTAATAAATAATTTAATTAATTCATTAAATATTTTCAATTTTTCCAAAAATTTGTTGATAGTTTATGAGCTCTTTTTTGAAAGATAAATAACATAAATTTATATTTTAAGTTAAATCAAGAAAATTTAACAACATTTTTGTCTCAAAAAACTCTAATTTAATTTTATAAAAACAAAAGAAAATGCCATTTTCTACTTAAAATTGAGTTTATTTATAAGTACAAATAAATACTTTTTATAAAAATTTATTTATTTTTCTTAAAATATATATTTTATTTTATTTATTTTAAATTCTTTTATGAAATAACAGAAAAATGGTTGTAAATTCTCTACTTCCCAATATTTTAAATGTTGCCCAGATTGTTAATATTGTTAGTCCTCCAATTGTAGAAACAATTAGAAATAAAAAAGAAACAGAAAATGATGAAATTTTAAATTACAAAAAAGGTAAATAAATAATTTTAATTTCGAAAGTCTCAAAATTAATATAATGTTAAAAATAAAAAATTTAAATATTTCAAAATAAATAACGAGTTTTGTAAGAGTGCCACCGGGCAGGATTCACCTGCGACCTCATTGTAAGTTACCACGTACAGGAGCTCTTTCACTGATGTGAACAAGCGGGGCGACGACTAATGCTTTCTCTTTTATCCTTTTAGATTGTTTAACCCCCACCTAAGCGTTTTAAATGCTCTAGGTAAATCATTATTACAATAAATGAAGAATTTAAAAAATTAATTATTTAAACACAGAATGCACACCTGAACTAATTGCTTTGCAATCCTCTCAAATTTTAAATAATATTTTTCGAGATGATTTATATGATAAACATTTAACACCTGATCCATTAGGTGTTAATGTTTCTATTGAATTAGCCCTTCAGGTAAATAATAATGACGAACTTTTAAAATAATTTTAAATTTTAGACATTTTATGATGTCAGTGAATTAAGGTAATTTGTAAATATAATTTAAATGGCATTAAATAAAAATAAAACTTCAAGTGCAAGTTTTACGGCGGATGTTTTAATGAGCCAAATATGGTTGGATCGTCGATTGCGTTATACTCATTTAGGAAATTGTATTGAAAATATGACATTAAGTTCGGTAATTGTTGAAAGATTTTGGCAGCCATTTGTTTGCTTTGTGGTAAATTTTTTAAATTTTTCATGCGAGGAAACAAGATTAGACTAAGATAAGCTACATCCTAAAATTAACAATTCCCATCTCTAAAGAGTTATCCAAAGAATAAATAATGTATTATTTAACGAATAATAAATAACTTTTTTTTATTTTAATGCATAAATTTTAACTCTATATATAGAACAGCAAAAAATCGGAACTTCATGTTTCCCCATCTCCAAATACTTTTGTCTTAATATATCCCAATGGAACTGTCTGGATGAACTACCGTCTTAGGGTTGAAGGTTCTAATTATTTTTAATTAAATTTTAATTGACTCAAAAAGGCCCTTGTTACGTTGATTTATGGCTTTATCCCTTTAACGAGGAAGAATGTGAACTAGTCCTTGAAAGTTATGCTTATAATGCAGCTAATGTTCGTTTAATGTGGCGTGATTGGAATCCTGTAAAATTAAAATTATTTTTTAAAATAAAAATATAAAGGTTTTCGAATATCCTTCACGAACTAAACCACCAGATTTTATGCTTAGCGAAATTCGTTGGGCCAAGCATTCTTTTATATACGCAGCAGGAAAATGGGATCAGGCATTTATTATTTTTATAATTTAATTTAAATTTAAATAAAATTTTAGTTAACAGTAAATTTCTTGTTGACTCGCCAATTTGGTGTTTATTTATTTCAAATGTATTTTCCTGCCCAAACAGTTAAATTAATAAATTTAAAAATTTTTATTTAAATTTTTAAAATTAAAGGCTGTAGCTATGAGTTGGATTCCATTTTTTCTTGATTATCGTAGTTTGCCTGCAAGAATAACTTTATCAGTTTCTGCATTAATGAGTATTACATTTCAATATGGAAATATACTTAAATCTCTTCCAAGAGTTAGGTTAGATATTTAAAATAAAATTTAATAACATGCTGTTTATTTAATTAATTACCCTGGGTAATTATAATTCTAATACCTCGCTAGTTAGCTAACTAATAGGGTTGTGTAAATGGAGAGGAGGAGGGGGGTAATTATAGAGGTTACTATACTTAATAAAATCATTATCTGAAAGAACCCGAGCAAATACTATAATTAATTTAGTTATGTAATGTCAGTAGATGTTTGGATATTTGGAAGTATTGCATTTATTGCCTCTTCTTTAATAGAACTTGCGATTGTTGGACATTTACATAGAAAATATAGATCACGTAATTTTAGAAGAAAATCAACATTATTGTTTCCAACAGAAAGAAAATGTTTGGAAAGAATTGAAAGGAATTTTTGGGCGGAGAATAAAATAAATAAAAATATATTTTTATGATTAATACGTTTTTTCCCACGCAAATTTCACTCTTTTTAAACCGTCAAATTTTGATTATTTTTCAGTCGCTTTTGAATATTCGAAATTTGGAAATAAATATTTTTTATTGTGGAAATAAAGAGTTAAATAAATTTGAGAGTTAAAATAAGGGGCTTTAGAGAAATTACCCTAGAAAATATATAGGAAGGAAAACCTTATAATTAATTTTAATATTTTGGTTTTCATATGGTGCCACGACCATAATTGGTTTATATTATATTGTTTAAGGAAAACAATAATTAAATTTGTTTGAAGTTGAAATTTTTTTAAAAAATAAAATTTTTTTTTTGATTGTTTGAAGAACAGTCTGATATACCTTTTTGAGGTTTAAATTTATTATTAGAAGAATAAAAATGTCGGGAACTATTCGTCAAGCTATGACCCCGGCTATAACGCGTTTGCGTGAACATTTTGAGGAAATTCGCCCCGTTTTAGATGCCCAAGAGCGCACAGTTGAAGGTATGGAAATGTTAAGGACTAGATTAGTTAAATTGCGACGTATAGTTAATCGTCTCGAAGAAAAGGCCAACCAATGGCAGGATTATATTCGTGGACTTCCGGCTAATGAGAGAGAAGCGGAAGAACAGGTTTTAGCTCGTTTTGCGCCATCAGAGCACCATTATGCGGAATGGATAGAAAATGCTCATGAAATGATTGCGGATATTGAGATTTTGTTGACAGAGTCAGAAGACGGCAGTACTCAGTCCGATCTTTCTGTAGAATTGGGAGTTGGACAAAATAGAGCCAACCAGTCAAGGAGGCCAGAAGCTCCAATAAATGAAGGGCAGACTCAGTTTAATGAGAATTTATTTCGCAGGAATGAGTATAATATTCCTGCACATTTGCCTAGGACAAGGTTGGCAGAATTTTATGGAGACCCCCTAATTTGGCCAGAATTTTGGCAATCTTTTAGTAGAACTGTAGATAGCCTGGAGATGGACCCAGGGCTAAAAGCACATTATTTAATTCAGTGCCTCAGAGGTAAGGCCAAAAGAGCGGTTTTAGGTTATCGGCCGATTGCCGAACATTATGAACCGCTCAAGGATGCATTAAAAAGACAGTTCGGGAATGAGAAAGCAATAAGGGATACACTCCATGCGGAATTAATTAGCCTTCCTATGGCAAATGAATCGGTTTATTCACTTCGTTCTTACCTTGAGGAAGTCGAAAGGATTTGCAGATCCCTCACGGCAATGGGAAGAGTTGAAGATGAGTCTATAGTTATGATGGCAATCAAAAATAAGTTGCCAAAAAATATTGTTTTAGAATTATTAAAAAAGGAAAAAGAAGCAAGAGCGACTTGGAATGTTGATGAATTAAGAAAAGGGTTAGAAGAGATAGTAGCTCTCAGAGAAGAAGCGCAAAGGTGCGTTCAAACATTTTCTAAAAATATTAATTATAACCAACAGAGGGTTGGGAACAATTGGAATAATAATAGAAGTTTTAATCAGAAGCGAGCTAATTTTAAAAGAGAAAATTTTGATCGGGTGTTTACTGTACAATCAGGTGATTATAAAGCAAGAAACAATAGAAAGTTTGAAATTTCTTGCTATTTTTGTCATGGAGCTCACCACGCAGAAAAATGCGAAAAAGTGAAAGCGATATATATTAGGACAAAAATGCTTACAGAGCAAAATCGATGTTTGCTTTGCTTAAGGAAGGGCCATACAGTGACGAACTGTGTCACTAGAATTGAGTGCAATATTTGTAGAGGACGTCATAATAAATTGATCTGTCCAAATTTATATAAAAAGGTAATAAATGGAAAAGAATTTAAAAAAGTTGAGCAAGTAAATCAAGTAGAGACTTCGGAAAATCTACTTACTATAGTAGAAAAACCGAAGGAAGTTGCATTAATGCAAAGTAATATGGTTTTATCTAATTCAGTAATTAATAAAAAGTGTAATTCGGTTGGCTTATTTGATACAGGAGCCACTATTAATTTTATTACCGAAGAGAAAGTGAAAGAATTGAATTTAAAAAAGATAGGAGAAAAGGAATTGGGGATACTTCCGTTTTCTCATAAAGAGCCTATAAGGATTAAATCGGCAAAGGTTTTATTTGAAATTATTCTCGAAGATGGAAGTAGAGAAGAAATTATAGCATATAAAATTAAAAAAGAAATAATGCCGAATATTAAATGTGCTAATTTAGAAAATGGTAGAATTCGAACGTCAGAAAAAGTACCAGACGTTTTAATTGGTATAAAGCACTTTTGGAAATTTTTCCGCAATTTGGTACCCTTATCAGATAATTTGTTTAAGGTTGACACTTCGGTTGGTACAATTATTTGTGGAGAGCTTGAAAGTGAATTAAATGGAATTTTATCAAAAAAGAAAAATAATAAAATTGTACCAATATTAAATATAGACTCTGATGAAAAATTAAATAATTTTTGGAGTTTGGAAACCATAGGAGTTAAGGATGACCCGACAACCAAAGATGATCAGGTTGCAATGGATTTCTTTAAAAAGACTATAAAGCGTTCTCCGAATGGTCGATATATTGTAAAATGGCCATGGAAAGAAGAAAGAGAAAATTTACCTTCCAATTTTTCTTTAGCCTATAGGCGTTTTGTGGGTTTAATGGAAAGACTTAAAAAGAACCCAGATTTAATGCTTGAATATGAGAAAATAATTGAAAATGACATAAAAAGAGGAGTTTTAGAAAATGCTGATCGAAACAAAGGATCAATAGAGCATTTCCTCCCTCACCATCCTGTCATCACTACGAAAAAAGTGAGAATAGTGTACGACGCGTCTGCCAAAATAAGAGGAGGAAAAAGCTTAAATGAATTGTTATATCGCGGTCCAATAATAATGCCAGAATTAGCTGGAATGTTAATTAGATTTAGGCTTCCAGAAATTGCCATTTGGGCAGATATTGAAAAAGCGTTTCATTGTTTAGAGCTTGATCCAGAAGATCGAGAGGTTTTAAAACTAATATGGCTAAAGGACGTAAGAAAGCCTATAACTTCAGAGAACATTAAATATTTACGATTTTCAAAGGTCCCTTTCGGTGTAATATCAAGCCCGTTTCTTTTATCTGCCACAGTTAGGCATCACTTAGAGTCAATGGATGACCCAATAGCACAGAGGCTTAAAAATAATTCATATGTTGATAATATATTGATAGGTGTCGATACAAAAGAGGAAGCATTAGAGGCTTATATTAAATTGAAAAATATCTTTAAAACAGCCCAAATGAACCTTCGAGAGTTCATTTCGAATTGTTTAGAATTTAATGAAGAATTGCCTATGGAAGATCGTTTAGAAAAAAGTAAGTCAAAAATTCTAGGAATTCCATGGAATATTGAAACTGACAAACTTTCAGTTGGTTTTCCTGTGTTTGAGAATAATAAAAAGATAAATAAAAGGTTAGTACTGAAACAATTAGCTAGTGTATTTGACCCGCTAGGATTTGCTTCCCCGAGTTTATTATCCGCGAAATTGTTTTTCCAGTCTTTATGGGAAAAACAGCGAGAATGGGATAGCATTTTAATCGAAGAAGAAGCCAACAAATGGTGTGAAATCATCGAAACATGGAAAGTTTCGCCTATTGAAATTGAAAGAAAAATAATAGATAAAAACGGTGAATATCAATTACACGTGTTTTGTGATGCATCCAAAGACGCATACGCTTCTTGTGTTTATATGAGGTGTATCACTAATAAAGAAATTATGGTTAATATTTTGTATGCCCGGAATAGACTCAAACCAAAAAAGATGAGCGTTAGTATACCACGAATGGAATTGTTAGGGGTACTAATTGCTACTAGAGCTTTAAATTTTGTTTCAAAACAAATTGGTTTAAAAATTTCCCAAAAATATCTTTGGTGTGATTCCAAACCTGTTTTATATTGGATTAAAGAAAATTATAAAGGAGAAAAATTTGTTGAAAATAGAATTAAAGAAATTAGAAGTCATAGTGATTTGAATTTTGGCTATATTCCAACAGAGTGCAATCCTGCGGACATTGCAACACGCGGATGTACACCTGTTGAACTAAGCACTAATTTATTATGGTGGTCAGGACCTGAATTTTTGAAAAATTCTAAAAATTTATGGCCTGACGAGTTAAATTTTGTTGTTGAAAATATTGAAAGGGAAAATAATTTTGAAGAAAATTTTGAAATTAATCAAATAAATAGTAAAGAATGTAATAAATTTATTGACTTTAATAAATGGAATAGCTGGAATAAAATTTTAAAAATTATTTTAATTGTCTCTCTCTTCGCTCGAATATGGTTGAGTAAATGTAAAATGAAAATTAAGAGCGAATTTATTAAATCAATAAGCGAAAACAAAAGACCTGCAGGTGCTTACATTAAAAGAGTGGAAATATTTTTACTAAAATTAATACAAAAGGGAATTGACAAAAATTTAATAAATAGGAATACAATAATTATTACAGATAAAGATGGAATTTTTCGGTTGAATTCTAGAATAGGCAAAAGCGAAATGTCTGATGGATTTAAAAACCCTATAATATTGCCAAAGGGTCACCCTGCTGTAAAATTGATCATGGATAAATTACACATTGAGCTTTTACATTCAGGCGTGGACGCCGTTTTAGGAAATTTCTTAATTAAATATTGGTCACCGTGCGCCAGAAGAGAGGCCAAGAAAGTAGTAAGGAATTGTAAAAAGTGTCAAAGAATAAATGGACCGAAATTCGCACTCCCAACAATGCCAGGATTGCCTAAGGAAAGGTTAATTAAATCTAGAGCGTTTGAGGCAATTGGCGTTGACTATTTAGGTCCTTCTTTATATAAAATTGAGAATGGAAAGGCCAAATTTTGGATTGTTCTTTTTACGTGTTTTACGACTAGGGCAGTCCATCTCGAAATAGCATTGGAGCTCTCGGCACTAGAATTTTTACACTGTCTAAGACGTT